GATCCAATGGTTTCAATCTGCAAAAGAAGTTAACCCCTCCTATCTGTTAACAGAGCTCAATGGAGCACCTCCAGACCATAGTACGAAATGTATTTTGTACTATGGTATGGTACGACCAGGCTAAGTCCAAATATGTACTCATTTTGTTCAGATAGATCTGAAACTCCAGATAAATAAAAGGTAATACTTCAGAATAATGTCAACAAAAAAGGTGTAAATCAAATAATCAAATCACCATACAAAAATAAGTGAAATGAAATTGAAAATGCAAAAGATGAGAACTTCACACAAAACAATGATGTCCTTGTTAAAGTAAAGCCTAAAAATAGTTGTTTAAGTGTTTGAGACAGTCACCCCCCTAGCTCCGTACTACTGCTCGATAGTCAGGCATAACATTTATTCTGTACAAATATAACACAATAATATAACTAAATTACACAACAGGATACTACCCCCTTACTAACCCAAACACAGCAAGCGTCTGATTCAACATTAAAAAATGTTTAAAAACAACTTTTGAATTTTAGACTCTTACAAAGAATATGTATCATTTATTAAACAAAAAGGTAGGTGCCCCAGCTTTATTTAAACAAAGGTTTTGCGCAAATTTGATGATAGAAGCAGTCCTTAAAGGCGCTATACCCGTTTCTGCAATGTTTGAATGTTTAGCACCGCCCCCCAACTCGCTCAATGGCTTCTCATTTCCCCTGCGCTCTCATAACACAGAGCCACCTAGTTTTATTTGCGATCTGATACGTATGCTAACATTAGCATTAGCACAACTTGTAAGCTGTGCAACAATCACAGATGAAATGGTACTAAAGCAACGCACTGCTAACACAATATATAGGTAAAAGAATACCGCTAGTTTCGCGTCCGAATGTATTAATTTAAAACCTTAGAATATATTCTAATATTTAATTATAATTTGTTATAGAGCTCCTCAAAGCAGCAGCAGCAGCAATTCTTCCGATCATTTTTTCTTGATAACAGAACTCTCAAACCAATAATGACCGAAGCCCCAATGCAACCTCTGTTTGTAATTCAGGTGTGTAAAATACTGCCATTACTCTGCAAGTACAAGAAGCTTTCAGCGCCTGTCACTACACACTTGCCTGTGTAGAGAAGCCAACGGAGCTAGCGGAGCTAGCCACGCTCAATAAACAACTACATATCTATCAATCAACACCATTAAAGGTCAATCGGACAATACGGTACACATATACATCCTTAACACACATGCACGGATGATTTCAGAATTTGCTGTTAACGTTTTCATGACAAAAATACTGTTTTAAAGTGACAAAAAGCGATTGCGAAAAACCCGGAAGTTACCATGAAACAACTAGCTAGCTTAGCTGTTACCTGCCTAGCACGTCCCGGTGAAACCTTTGGGAGCTAACTATTTTATTTGCAGTCATTAAATACATTTCGAATTACAAGGGTTGTCTAATATTTGTTCACATTTTTTTATTCAATTATTTTGTTCATATTTTTTTATTTTAGAATTATATTCGAATTTTGAAGTTGAAGCCCTGGTGTTAAGCAGCGCTGTAGAGGCTAGAGGACGCAGGCTGTTCGCTGCTCGTTCTGTGAGCGGAGGAGAAAGAGCGGCCCGCTCAGACTCTACTCAGCACTTTTCACTGCTTGTAATTCTTACACAGCTGAATCAATTACCTCAAGTTTTCAATTAAATGATGTATTATGATACAACTTGTATGTAGTAAAAAGCATTTTTATGAACTACTTAGAAAAAAAATCGGGTATAGCTTCTTTAACCCGCGGATCTTCAGAACCTCAACCCTTTTCACCCACAGTGAAAAGAGAGTTTAGTGAGTTTAGGAGTCAAAAAGACCAGTTTTCTCAAATGTCAATGTAACGCGTTGTGTAATTCCAAAGCTCGCTCTCTGGGTTAATTGGATGGTTTGACAGTTTTGCTAAGATTTCACAGAAACAGCGTTGTGGGGAAAAGTACTTGAATTTGACTTCCAAGCGGAGCATTCATTCCCCAGCTATGCAAAGGGCAAAAATGAAGCAATTGTTGATGGAGGCCGGAGGTGTGGAGTGTGCTCAAGACATTATAAAAGTATTGTAGGTATAAAAAATAGTTTTAGATCAGTGTAGGTATAAAAGATTACAGAAACATGTCCATAAATGACATTCAACAACATTTATGGACAGTTTTGTAAAGTCCGCGGTAACTACTGTTGTGATTTAAGGGCTACACAAACATGTATTGAATTGAAAATCAGGTAAAGGGTTAGTTTAATAGTCTTTAATGTTTGTGTTTGTTTGCATATGTGTATATTCTATTAGGATTCAATGTTTTGAAGTTATTTTTTTGACGGTAATATTCACTGGGCTATCTCTGTTATGTCGAGGCTATCAGGCCTGGGGGTATTTTTAACCCAGGCACGTTACCCCACCACCTGCCCCGGGACATCAGCTGTTCCCCCCCACACTCTTCAAAAGAATGTTGGCTTCATTAGATAGCTCTGTCTCATTTAATAAATCCCTGAAACCTTTGATTTATTGAATGGAAATATTTTTAGTAGGTATGTAAATGATGTAGTGGATTAATGTGTAATGGTCCATGATGTTTTTATATTCATACTGTATTCTAAGATAAATCCATCCTCGTCCTATTTACACTATGTAAGATAGATAGATACTTTATTGATACTCGTGGGAGAAATGCAGGTGTCCAGTAGCAGCAAAAACACATCCATCCACACAAACAAAACAAATAAATAAATCATTCTAAAAGGCTGACAATTAATTTCAGTAACATTAAGTGTATAGTCACACTAATGTACAGACTAAATTGCGGTTATAATAATTACGTTTTGTTTTCCACTTCTGAAAATTATATTCTACTATGTAAGTAAGGGTTGGGACTCATCATCATCATCATCATCATCATTAATCCCCCGTCTCAGACTTTAAAAAAAAACAATAACGTCCATAATCACTGCCCAAACTGTGCCGGTCCTCATTCTATGGACACAACTAACAGAGTTTTTACAATAATCAACAACTTTTTAAAGAGTTTGTACAGACTCTCAAACATGAAAGTAATGAGAGACGTGATTTTAAACAGAACCAAAAATGACATGATAAAAACTAGAACTGTGTAAATGAACAAAACCGATCAGGATGCCCTCATTTAAGCTTTATATGGGTCTAACTGATATATAATTTCCACAATGCATTCTAAAATACAAACTAATGAATCAATGTGACCCGTCTCGCTCACGAAGCCCACAGTCCCGCTCTCTCCTCATGCAGGTGAGATGATAGACTTGCTCATCAGCGCTGGCCTTGAGGATGTCAGAGTGCTTTTCAAGAAACATTGACGTTTTTATTTTCCCCAACACAAAATAAAACGTATTTTTCATCTAATTCGTTGCATTTATGAAGTGAAATCTGCTCCAAAAACATGAAAAGTGATTAAATGTTCCCTGCAATATACAATTAAACGTGTTGTTCCAGTGCCTTCAAAATGTTGCTTGTATCAAGAATCCAAAATGAATCTATTATTACACTAACAATAACATGACCTTGCTACAGATTTCTTTGTTCATCCTGCCATTCAAACTTCCCAGGGCACTGCGGCGGATCGATAGCAGCAGATATAGATGGTGGGAGGGTATTATTTGTTCTGGAAGGCCCCGCGGCTGCAGACGGAGGCGAGGGGGGGTGACTGTCTCAAACACAGTTGCTCTCTGAAGTCAGGACAGCAGGTGATCTGACTCTGACCCCGCTGTGAAGGTGTGATGTCATCTTTAATGTGGGTTTCAACAACACTCTGTGACGCATTTTGTTGTTTTCTGTGGTTTTAAGTGACGCAAAATAAAGCAGTGATATAATTGTCATATATCAAATCTTATGTTGTGTACATGTTTGTATGTAATAATTATTAGCATTAGATCATTTTTTTGTTCTCATACAGTTTCACTACTGAGGAAGACTGTACCCAAAGGAAAAGTATAATTTCTTATTATTTTAAGATGTATTTATTCCGCTGTACTGATTAAACGCAAGGTAAACGCAAGGAAAACCAATCCTAAATTAATTTATGTTCTATTCATTCGAGCAGAAATTTTACGATCACAAGTGTTTACAATAAATTCTTTCCTTAGTTTACATGACCCTGAATACATGTTGCCTTCTGCGCTTACAGTATGTACTTACACATGGAAATATTTAAACCAAGAAACAATAGTTGCCCTAGTTTCACCATGTGTGGTACAGTATATCTACAATATCAGTATGTATTTACAAATGAACCTCTATTTACAATTTGTCAGCTCGAAATGGAGAGGGAAGGAAGTAAAAACGTACTACTAAATGTATGAGTAGCCTTTTAAAAGTATCTGGTCACATTTAAAAAGAGCTTCTAATATCTTTTAGAAAACTGGAATGAGGTATTGCATCAGTTTGACCATGAAGCACATGCAAGTACCTGAAGCTATGCTAGTTAAGAAACATAGTTACTACGTATTTTGTATATATTGTGTGCTCCCTGTGTGCTCTTACTACTGTCCTGTCTGTGCGCTGCAACATCGAAATTTCCCCACTGTGGGACGAATTAAGGAACTCTTAACTTATCTTAAGCTGAGCAGAGCAGTGCCTGGTTAGTACTGTGATGGGAGACCTCTGGGAACAACAGGTGCCACAGTGGGGTTGGCTGCGGCTGTAATGTGCCAAACTGTCTTTGTGTCCTTAGGCAAGACACTTCACCCACATTGGTTGGTGGAGGTGGGAGGGGCCGATAGCACATACTTGTTGCCTCGCTTCTGTCAGTGTTCCCCAAAGAATAATAACATGTGAAGCATCTTTGAGGGTCCAAAAAAGTCACATGTAAAACCAAGGCATTGTTATTATTATTATTATGAACTCACAGTTACAGAAAATATTATTAGAACATCCTTATTTTCAACTTTTAGATGGACTTAGAGAAAAAGCAGACCGTCTTCCAGGATAGGTGTGGAAGGCTCATGTGGAAGAAGGCTACATTTGCCGTGTCCGTGGTGTTGCATTATTATCCGCCTCCAAACAGAGATCAGATGCTTCTCTTCCACCTGCTCCCCGTCAACAAAACAAACGCGCCTCTGCTTCTGATTGGCCGCTTCGTTGGCCAAAGCATCTGGCGTTCCCTGAAGCTGGCTGTCTGTCTGAGCATCGCCACGCCATTTTCGCTTTCCCATGACAAGTGCAGGCAGCATATGTTTGAGAACCGCGGCCTATTTGGGAGAAAAGTGAAGTGTTGATGCCACATTTTTCAAAGTAACAATATGAGAATGTTTGGATGGATTTGTCTTTTTGATGAACAATTTGGACGCAGGTGTCGTGTGTTGAAAATAAATACATTTTTGCCAGATGGTGTCACATCATCTGGAATGACCTGTACAATTTTGGGGCGGGTTAAGTTTCAAGGATTCACACAGATCTTGCTGCTTATATGTGGCCCATGACTTTATACACGCAACGTTGATTTTTGGCAGTTTTGGAGCATTTTACCCTGGTTAGTTTTGACTTTGTTCACTGATTTTATTATCTGACTGTGTGATAGGAGGAGGAATTGGCTTTTTATTGACTTGTGAGGCAAGCAAAGGTTAGACCTGACAATGCTCACCCTTTATATACTTTCTAATGAAAAATAAGACAATTGAATTTACTGACATCACCTTTAAGTTGTGACACAAAATTGGGAAGAATTAACAATATCTCACTATATCTCACAATATCCAGATCCTGTCTCACCTCTGAAGCTAAGCAGGGTAGGGCCTGGTTATTACTGTGATGGGAAACCTCAGGGAACACCAGGTGCCACAGTGCAGCGGCTGCAGCTGTTACTTCACCCATATTGACTTGTATGAGTGTGGAGTTTGTGTGAATGGTTGGTAGTGGAGGAGGTGGAGGAGATGGTGGCACATATTGGTTACCTGGCTTCTATCAGTCTGCTCCAGGGCAGCTGTGTCTTCAATCGTAGTTTATCACCACTCTGTATGGAGTGAATGAATAATGCGCAAGTGCATGGTGGCCATGTGGATAGCACTCTCGCCTCTCAGCAAGAAGGTCCTGAGTCAGAATCCCAGCCGGAACAGAACCTTTCTGAATGGAGTTTGTATGTTCTACCCGTGCATAGGTTTCTTCAGGGTACTCTGGTTTTCCCTACCACTAAAAACATGTACAATAGGTCTGGCATGTGCCTCCTGTTCTGGCCCTGCTCCCATCTCTGTGTGGAGTGAGAGACAAATGCCCACACTTGTAAACAGTTTTGGTGACTCTGGTTTGTGAAAGGCGACATATAAATAAAGATTACTTACTTACTTGAATGGCATGTGAAGCGTCTTGGGGTGTTCAAAAAACGCTATGTAAAAACAAAACATTATTGCATTATTATTTAATGACAAAAAACACAATTACTGCTGTGAGTGTCAGTTTTTGCAGTGGCATGACCTTCAGTTTGAACCTGAAAAGTTTGTGAGTGGTTTTGCATCTGCATAAACTTGACTCTTCCTGATGCTGGAAACAGAAATATCCCTTTGGCTGTATTTTCCCACAAGGCATTACACAAAGAGTGTATTTCATGTTTCATTCGAGAATGTACATGTTTTGTTGTCATATGTTTGAAATGTTTAGTTTTCTATTGAATCATGCTGACTGATGAAAAACTAGTCAAAAATCGCTAACATTTTGCAAAATGTATCTTAATTTGAGCACATTCTAACTGCCTTAAAACAAGATTTGCCAGTGAGACAAACATAATTATCTTGTTAGGAAAAGATACAAGAATGAGATTGGAATCTTGATTGGTTAATCTTGTTTTAAGACAGTCAGAATGTACTCAAATTAAGATAAAAAACACTTGATATAAGCAATTATAACCTACCTCCTGTAGGCGGACTCATCGTTGTTGGAGATGAGTCCAATGAGGGTGGTGTCGTCCGCGAACTTGATCAGCTTCACGGAGTCGTGGCTGGAGGTGCAGTGGTTGGTGTACAGGGAGAAGAGCAGGGGAGAAAGAACACAGCCCTGTGGGGCTCCTGTATTTATAATCCGAGAGTCCGAGACATTCTTCCCCAGACGCACTCGCTGCTTCCTGTCCGTCAGGAAGTCGGTGATCCACCTGCAGGTGGAATCGGGCACGTTGAGCTGGGAGAGCTTGTCCTGGAGCAGGGATGGCAGGATTGTGTTGAAGGCAGAGCTGAAGTCCACGAACAGGACCCTGGCGTAGGTCCCCGGGGAGTCCAGGTGCTGTAGGATGTGGTGGAGGGCCAGGTTAATGGCGTCGTCTACAGATCTGTTGGCTCTGTAGGCGAACTGCAGGGGGTCCAGGAGGGGGGAGGTGAGGGACTTGAGATGGGAGAGAACCAGGCGTTCAAATGACTTCATGACGACCGACGTAAGTGCTACAGGTCTGTAGTCATTGAGTCCGGTGATCCTGGGCTTCTTCGGGACGGGGACAATGATGGAGGATTTGAAGCAGGCCGGGACATGGCAGGACTGCAGAGAGGAGTTGAAAATGTCCGTGAACACAGGAGTAAGCTCACTGGCGCAGTGTCTCAGAGTGGCCGGAGACACGTGGTCCGGGCCAGGAGCTTTGCGGGGGTGCAGCCTCAGGAAGAGTTGTTTAATCTCTTTAGCGGCTATTGTTAGGCTGGGGGCAGGGCTGATGGGTGGGTCGTTAGAGTAGTGGGGGGTGGGGGAGGGAGAGGTGTCAGGGGCAGCATCAAAGCGACTGAAAAATAAGTTCAGATCGTCAGCTAGCTTGTGGTCATCAGCACAGGGGGGGGCTTTGGGTTTGTAGTTGGTGATCTCCCGTAGGCCCCTCCAGACAGAAGCAGTATCGTTGTTACCAAACTGCTCCTGTAGTCGTTCTCTGTGCCGGGACTTGGCTGCTTTCAGTTCTTTCCTGAACTGATATTTAGCTGCTTTGTAGCCGCTGCGGTCCCCCTCCCTGAAAGCAGACTCCTTTGCTTTCCTGAGCTGCCGGAGTTTAGCAGTGAACCAGGGTTTGTCGTTGTTATAGATGACCCTGGTCCTTGTTGGAATGATGCTATCCTCACAGAAGTGGATGTATGACGTCACAGTGTCCGTATATTCATCCAAGCTGTCTGTGGCAGCTCTGAAAAGGTCCCAGTCTGTAGATTCCATGCATGCGCGCAGCTCTTCCACAGCTTCATCAGACCACACTTTGGAGCTCCTCACTGCAGGTTTCGAGAGCTTTAGTCTCTGTCTGTAAGCAGGAACCAGATGTATCATGGAGTGATCTGAGAAGCCGAGGGCTGGCTTGGGAACAGCGCGAAAAGCTCCGCGCACGGTGGTGTAACAGTGATCCAGAGTGTTCTCCTCTCTGGTCGGGCATTTGATAAACTGTCTGTATTTGGGTAATTCCTGGCTCAAGTTTCCCTTATTAAAATCCCCCAGGATAATAATCAGAGAGTCCGGGTATAAGCGTTCCATACACAGTACTTGCTCTGCGAGTGCGCGCTGAGCCTCGCGCGCGTCCGCGCATGGCGGTATGTAAACAGAGGCAAGAATGAATGAAACAATTTCCCGCGGGGAGTAATATGGTTTACAATGAATGAAAAGATATTCCAGAGCAGGAGAGCAGTGCTTGGAGATCACTGTCACATCGTTACACCAGTTTGTATTGACGTAGAAACAGAGCCCTCCGCCTCTGCTCTTCCCTGAGAGCGCACAATGGCGATCCGCGCGAAACAGCCCAAAGCCCTGCAGCTCCAGAGCGCAGTCCGGGATCCGCTCATTTAGCCAGGTCTCAGTGAAGCAGAGGACACAGGATGTGGCGAAGTCCTTGTTTCTTCTCATGAGCAGGCTGAGTTCGTCCATCTTATTGCCCAGTGAGCGTACGTTGGAGAGAAAAATGCCGGGGAGAGCCGTGCGCGCTCCTCTCCTCCTAAGACGCACGAGCAGGCCTCCTCGCTTTCCCCTTTTACGGGCCCACACTTTTTTGGCTAGAACATGAACTAAATCAGCCGCAGATGCCAAGAAAACAGGCAATAGGTCCATGGGAACGGTGGGTCGGATGTTCATAAGTTCCTCACGGGTGTAGGAACAGCCAGATGCACAGTTAAAAAGTAAAAACAAAAGAAAAAGAGAGCAGCAAAGAGCCATGTCGACCGTACGAGGCGCCATCTTTACTACTAACTATTAAACTATTCAACACAATAAAACATTCAAACAAGCACAAATCTCCCAATGACTTTCCAAGTAATTCCATTTCATACTGTGCCTGAATCGCATCCACGTATTGGTATTAAGTGGGGGAGTGCAGGGTATTTTTGGAAATCGTACAAGAAGGCTTTTGGACGTGGATAATGGAAGAGCCTTTGATATATTGGGGAAAAAAGCAGTACGTAAACAACCCCAGGCGTTCCAAACGGTTCCATAAAAGAGCCAAGCTTACAGAAAATGGACTGCGTACAAACAGTATGAGAAAAAAGAAGTGAATTTCGCAGCGGGGAAGATAAGAGGCGGTGAACAATGCGTGATGAGTCGGCCATGTTGGGACCAAAACTGATTACGTGCACAAACAAGGTGGAAATTGAAAGTTGTTTTGATGGTTGGATTGTTTGCTGCCAGATCTGGGCAAGGCTGTATTCCAAAAGTACTGTATGTCTGACTAATGTATTTTTAGAAATAAATAATGAAAGGGTGTTTGAAGAGGACATAATGTTGTGGATAAGGACAGGATTTCTAGATAACAAAAAACGATAAAGTACGGAGAAAAAAAAAACTACAAAAAATTTATAGTAATAATGCAAGTACACACATACATACACACAAATATGCATACATACGTACAAATACACACACATACTTACATACAAATACCTACAGACATACATACATACTCATACATACCCTCACATATAGTACACATAGTACACATTCATACATACACATACATGCCTATATACAAATACCTACACACACATACGTAAGCACACACAAGAATACACTCACACACATAGTCACAATGAGACATAAAAGAGACAACAATGAAATAAAATGAAATGAAACAGCAACAATAACAGTAAAAGAATTGAGTATCACCAAGTGTCTTGGTGCTTTGTTTAATAGCTGCCTTAGCACTGGATCTGTTCCTGCAGCCTTCAAGCATGCTGTGGTTAGGCCACTGTTAAAAAAACCTAATCTAGATCCTGCTATTCTGTCAAATTTTCGACCTGTCTCTCACCTGCCATTTTTGTCTAAGGTTTTAGAGAAACTAATCTTCATTCAG